GGCCGCCCCCCGCCCCCCCTCCCCAGAGAGCCACGCAGCCCCAGTCCCAGGGTCGCTGTCATTGGGGATGGAGAGGAGTTCTCCTTACCTCCTTCCACTTCCTCTGGGGGTACCAGCACCTCCACCTTCAGATGTAAGGCTGCATGGGTCTCTCAGACATCTTTTGTGTTGTGTGAATGTCCTCTGTTGGTATGTGAATGTCCGCTTCCTTGTATCTTGGGGGGGAGAGTTTAAGGGGGAAAGCTCACTCCACCATAATGCTGATGTCACCCTGAGTGCAGTATTTTATATGTATTTTTTGTTCTAAGTCTTTTCAATCTGGTATGTATTTTACATTTACAGCACATCTCAATTCAGATCAGCCACCTTTCAAGTGCTCAAGACCCACAGGTAGCTTGTGGGTACTTTATTGGCAAGGCCAGTGTGGCAGAAAGGCAGAGGGAAAAGAGGAGGGTGGTTTGAGATAGGGTGGTGCCCCCTGCCTACACCAGCCCATGGAGGATGTTGTAGGCCAACTGAAGGATCTTAATCTTGAACCTGAAGCTAAGGAACGGTCAAAGCATATTAAAGGTCCTAAGAAGTTCTGCGTTGAAGAAGCCTGTTTTAGTTTGTTTAACTCAATGTTCCCATATTTATTCCATGTAACACCTACTCACATCCCAGGACTACACATTGGGAAACGCTCTAGCCTATTCTTTTTGGAGGAAGTGTTGCTACTGATTGATAGAAACTTCAGTAGCTGGGGACCTCAGCCCTTTGAATTAATCAAAGGAGAGCCAGGTTACTTTAATTCCTGCTTGTCACCCAGGACTAAGGACCAAGTAAGCAGAGGGATATTACTCCTTTGATGGAGGCTTGGTACTCCCTTTCCAAACTTGGCAGGCAGTAAATAACTTATGGGGATCCATGTACCAGCCAAGAGTTGAGACTTAAGGCCTTTCCATTCTTTAAGGTCTTCTCAAGCCCCATCTGCACCCAACAGTTTTTCCTATCAGTTTGATTCACTTATATTTCTTCTCTTCTCTGAATGTGGCATGTATAGTTTGAGTAAGTTGTCATTTAATTACATTTTCCAGTTCTTTTTGAGTTTCTTATAGCATTTAGAATAGTGCTGGGAATATGACAAATGTTTAAGAAATAGTTGAAGGGATCAAGTTTGTGCTGTTTTTTTTTTTTCTTTTTTAGAACCAATGGTAAGACTTTATTTCAGAATTTCACTAAGTCCAATCCTCTCAGCTCTCCATCATCTTTTCTGTCTTTGAACAGAGAGAGGATGTGAGAAAAGCACTGATCTTGGAATCAGACACCTGGATTTGTGTTCCATCTCTGCCTTTTTGTCAGCTGTGTGACCTTGAGCAAATCAGTTAATCTGGCTGGGTCTTGGTTTCATTATCTGTAAAGTGAGATGGTTGTACTAAATGACCTCTAAGGTTTGTTTTAGTTTTAACACTCTAGATCTATGCTGTCCAATATGGTAACCATTAGCTACATGTGGCTGTTGAACACTTGATATGAAATGTGGCTAGTCGATTTTACATGTGCTATAAGGGTGAAATACACAGTGGATTTCAAAACAAGAATGTAAAATATCTCATTAATAATTTTTATATTGTTGAAATATACATGTTGAAATAATATTTTGGATATATTGCATTAAATAAAATATATTATTCAAATTAATTTCACATTTCTTTTTACCTTTTTATGTGGCTACTAGAAAAGGTAAAATTACATATGTGGTGCTATGGACTGAATTGTGCCCGCCCAATTCATATGTTGAAGCCCTAACCCCCAATGTGATGGTGTTTGGAGATGGGGCCTTTGAGAGATAATTAGGTTTAGATGAGGTCATGAGGGTGAGGCCCTAATGATCAGATTAGTGCCTTTATAAGAAGAGACCCCAGAAAGCTTGCTCTCTCTTGCTCCCTGCCATGTGAGGACACAGTGAGAAAGTGGCTATCTACAAGCCAGGAAGAGGGTTCTCATTAGAACCTGACCATCCTAATCTGGGACTTTTGGCCTCCAGAACTGTGAGAAAATAAATTTCTGTTGTTTGAACCACCCAGTCAGTAGAATTTTGTTACAGCAGCCAAAGCTGACTAAGACATGTGGCTTGTATTATATTTCTATTGGCTAGCACTGGTCCAGATGTCTGGTACCTCCCACATGGAAGTCTTCCAGTACTTTTAACTTTCTACATTGTGTCTGTGAGAGCAGGGATGGCTTCCTGAATATTCCTTGGGGTGCTCAGCCCAGTGTTTTACCTCCAGTAACTGCTCAATAGGCATCTGGTGGTTAACTCATCTTCTTAATTGTAAGCAACACAGTCTTTGGCTCATCTATACAGAAGAGGAACTCATTAAAGGCATAACAGGTAGAACTCAGAATCCCTGCAGGGCAAAAGAACCAGGCTTGGAAGACAACACTTAGGCGGGCTGCAATGCGCAAATCCTGTTGCTGCCCCAGAAAATCAGAGCTGGCTGCCCCTGCTGCTGCTCTGTTGGCAGAGCGGAGTGGCTATGCACTTCTAGACTCACTAGCTTCCAGTTCAGAGTTTGATTGGCTGAGTTTAAATCAGGAACTCTAGCTGCAAGGGAGACTGGAAAGGTATGTGTTTGCTTTTCAGCTTCTGGAGTGGAAAGTGGTCTCCTCTCACGAGAGGGGGATGCATTTCTCTAAAATAGGAAGGTGTCTTCAGAAGATGGGCAGCCAAAAAGAATGATCAGAGTCCTTTCCTAGAGTAGCCCAAGACCCTGAAATTTTGACTGCAACACAAACAGATGGTTCTGCTGAAACTCCCCAGGCAGGGACTTCCTCCACACTCGAGGCTCCCCAGGTAACCTCATGGTTCCTCTGGAAAGTAGGAAGCATAACAAACAGTTGATGTTATACACTACTCTAATGCTGTGATTGTAATTTCACTATGTCATTTGGAAGTTCTCACATGGTATTTTCATATAGAGACACAGGAGGGCACTGTAACCAACCAGCAATACAACGTAAACAGCTTCATAGCCTTGGCAGTTCAAGAAATGGATGTTGATTTTGTCAAATCTGTTTCTCTCTCTCTCTCTCTCTCTTTCAGGCAGAATAACCAACTTTGCAGAAATACCTAGCTCCCCTGGGGGATCTCACTTGTGACAAGGGCCCCCAAGACACACCCTTCACACTGTCCAGTTAAGGTTCTAGGGACTATGGCTTTGAGCAACTCAGCAGAAAAAGGGATTTTTGGCTCACAGGTTACTGAAGAGATGGAGACGTGGTTCCCAAGGGCTCATATTTAGAGGTCGTCTGGCTAAATCAAACCGAGAGCAGAGAGAGAGACCTGGTTGTCCAGACTTTCTTCAAACCCGCAGCCTGTGCCCATGATTCAGTTTTCCCGTCTGTAAAATGGAGATAACACCCGGCTTATGTCTGTACAGTTTGCCAGTGGAGAAAAAGAGCGGGAAGGGGACGGAAGCAACACACCTGGGGGTACCATTTACCATCCCATAAAGTGCATTGAGTTTTACACTAAAAAAATAAACCCAGCCTGCCTCTCGTTAATGAATTACAGCACGCAGGAGGGACAAAACGTGCTCTGCTGGCAGCCGGAGTAACAAAGTAACGAGTATCAGCAGGAACAGGACCTGCTCCTCCAGACTGCTTTCCCCACACAGATCTCCCAGGCTGGGGCCCCGACACCAGGGAGGAAGGGCCGCGGGGCCGCTCGGGTGGTTTTCCTCCCCCAGCAGGAGCGGGACAGGTTCCCGGCGACGGCGGGGTTACTTGCGGTCAAAGGTGCAGTGTCGCAGAGCCAGCTCTGGCCGGCTGCATGGAGGCGGGATGGTGCGCAGCCCGGCCGCGGCGCGTTCTACCTCTCCCACCCGCTCTGTGTCCCCAAGGGCTGTTGAGGCGCAGCCGCCTCCCGTTGTCCCGGCCGCCGCTCAGCTCTGGCTCCCCTGCGCCATACGCGGGTTCCCGGCCAGGGTGTCGGGCTCTCGCCGCCCTCGGTCCCGGGGTCCCGCGGACAGAGCTGGAGCTCACACCCGAGAGAGGAGCAGGGACGAGGATCAATAGAGGGAAGGAGAGGAGGGAAAAGATGATGAGGGAGAGGAAGGGGCTGCTTAATTGCACTCAACAGGTAGTTGCGCGCGTCGGCCGAGATTCGGCGCTGGTCACGAGTCTGAGACCCCCAAGCTCGGCTCACTGTTCCCTTTGGGGACTGTCGCCTGGTATCCTTCTAGTCCTCCACCCCCAAAGTAAGAGAGCGCCTACCACGTGGGAGGCGCCGCACTAAGCGCTGTACTACATTATCTCCTGATTTCTCCCGCGTCCCTAGGCGGCAGGACTGTTACCATCCGCGTACTGTGGACAAGGGAACGGCCTTGGAGAAGCTGGGTGGCTTGCCAGGAGTTTTGCAGCTAGTGCCGGAACAAGGACTCCGAGAAAGATCTGTGCGATCCTGAAGCCCCGGCCACAGCCCACAGCCCCTCAGCTCTACCGGCTTATAGTCCCATCACGTTGTCTGCACCTGTCGCGAGCCTCGCTGGGCGCGAGAAGAGGGAGAAGAGGAGCAAAGGGTGACCAGGTGGCTCTCCCCCATCAAGACCCTTGACCCGGGGCGAGGGGAGATCATTTTGGGCGAGGGGGTGGCTTTGCGCCTTGGAGAGGATAACCTTCCTTCTCCAGGGATCGAGTCTCCTGAGGGCGCAGGGTTTCGTGACAAAAACCCCTCGGGGGCGGCAGAGGCAAGCGGAGGGTCTAGGGTCCGAGAGTGGGCACTAGGAGGAAGTGGGGTGGCAGGAGGGTGGCCGCCCGAGAAGCAGGCGCAGGAGGAAGCGAGGCTGCGCGTGTGGAGCGTCCACGCGGTGGATGTGCGGCGCTTTCATTCAAACTTTGGGAAGCCTCGGTTTCGGCGTCAGTGAAGGTGTGACCAATCAGAGTCCGGGGACGGGAATAAATTATGCAAATAACCATCTGGCGATGGGTCAGATGACTCCGATGCTTTAAAAAACTACCTCTCCGGTGTGACAGTAGCTAGCCCTGGCTTCCCGGGCTAGCCGCACGGGTGAGGGCAGGTGTGGTTCTGGTTCAAGCTCCTTCACACTCCTCCCCCTCACCCCGCGGCTCAGTTTAGCCAAGTTTTCATCTTCCACCGTCTCCACTTTCAACCGTCTAAGCCCACCACTCTCTGGTCGAGAGAAGGCTGCCCACTTCGGGTCTTACCAGCTCTGACTGCTGGAAACCCCGAGAGGTGTTCTTTTTTTGAAGTCCTGTTTCGCGGGAGGGGGTGTGGCGGAGAACGATGAGAAAGTCCGTTCTTCTGCTCTGCCTTTGGAGCGTCTATTGTTGCTTTGCCGCGGGAGGCCCCGCACCCCTTGGTCCAGAGGGCGGGCTGCAAGGTAACGTGCACTTACTTTATTTACCCCCTCCCACTTGTTTTCTGTGCCGGGCTCCCTCTGTCTTGTCCACTCTTCTTCAGTCCCTCCTCATTCCTGCGAAATCCTCCTTCCTTACCCGCTGCGCTGTCCACTTTCTCCTAAGCAGCCTGCAGTTCACTTGTTCCTCGGCGCTTCTGACCAGGGCATCCCTAGCGAGACATCCGAGAGGCCGCAGGCTGGCGGGTGCGCTCGCCCGCGCTCGCTCTCGCCCCACCCCTTTCCGTTATGTGGTTCCCTTAATCAGCGCTGTCCAGTCAGCCGAGTTGGCTGTCAGCCGGCTCTTCAACCTTGTCCTCTTCTTTGGACCTGGAGCTTTTCGAGGCAAGAAGGTTGTTAGAAAGAGAGCTGTCGTTTGGTGCCCTTCCTTTTAAATTCAGTGTAGGTGTTTTGAAAGTTAAGGTGGCCTGGTAGCTGGCTCTGGTTTGATTATGCTTGCAGGGACCATTTGGTGAGTAACCTGTGCCCAGCAGCTGCTGGGCTTATTCCTGCAGGTTGCCATCCTCCTCCTCCCCAACAGTCTTTCTAACCCTCCCCGCACCCCCGCCCTTTCTACTTTTCTTCACCTTCCTCCTTCTAGCTGCTAACTTTTCCTTCTCCTGAGTTCTGCATGGCAACTTCTTCCATTGGAAGGAGCCTGCCCTGGAGGGGTGAGGGTAGCCTCACTCAGCGGGAGTACCACGTCAGTTAAGCAGCGAGAGCGGGGAACTCCTAAACGACACCCCATTATTTAATCTTCTACTATTCTGCTGAGGTTGGGCCAAATAATGTTGATTCATGTCAGCTTGTGTACATTTGGGAGGGTTCATTTGAATGAATGAGAAAGTCTTGCTTTACTCGACATGTTGCCAACTTTCGTGCTAATCGAAGAGTGCCCTGGGGTAGGTTGCATCTCTAGTTCCTCTCCTGTAAAATGCGAACGCTCCGTCCAACTTCTGTGTTCTGTGATTCTGAGTATTTGTGGGGCGTTTCATTCATTCAGAAAGTATTTATTGCATCCTGCTTAGTGCCAGTCACTCTTCTAGGAGCAGGGGATATAGCAGTGAACAAACAGATGAAAACCCCTGCCCTTGTGGGGCTTACATTTCAGGGGTGGGAAGACAGACAGTAAACTAATTAAAATATACAGATGGTATTCAGTGTTATGGAGAAGAATAAAACAGAGGAGAAAGGTCCAGGGTGCTGGTGGGACAAGGTGGTGCAGGTTTAATCTGTGGTTGGGCTTCCCTCACTGAGAAATTGACCATTGAGCAAGGGACTGAAGGAGGCGAGAGAATGAGCCACGAGGACATCTGGGTGGAGAACAATCATCAAGTCCTGCAGGTTGAAGTGACCCAAGCTGCAAGTAGTAGGAATGAAGCTAGAGAGCTCTGGGGTCAGAGAAGACCAGATGCTAGGGTGAACCTTCTATGTTGATATGTGGGTTTATCCACAAATGTCTCCCAGGAAGCTGGCAGACTCCTTTTCCTTCTCTCCTAGACTTCCCCATCTGGTCTCTGTGTGAGTGGCTATCTGGGTGGTAACTGGGGAGTTGTCAAACTAGTTATGTCCATGGTTCAAATTTCTGCTGGTCGGGGCTTTTGTTCTTGCTTTAACGACAAAGTTCTGCTTGTGTGTATTTAGTTGCATTTTCTGGAACCCTATCCTTTTAACATCTGGGGTATTCTTTTCCTCTTCCTGCCCCCTTCACCACCACCGTGACCACCACTCTGGTCTCTTTCCATAATTCTATTTGCTTCTTAACTCTGGGAGAAATTAAGCTCCTGGGATGGTCATTTGGTATCTTTTCCCTTGATTTCTGGGTGACAGGAGAGTTTAATTTTCTAATTCCCTAGCCCGTTATCAAGGGATGGTTTCCTGGATGGTTGGAAGAGTGCTGGATGGGGTTCATTTGTGACCGTCTGAAACAGTGTAGTGATGACAATGCCTAATGTTAAAAGGCCATAGGGACCATCAGTGACATCGGCTGTGTTTTGGGAACAGGGCCATCTTCTAGATGGCACTGTGTGGAATAGCGAAGCAGTATGAACTGCTCTTATGAGTTTCTTCATGGCTTCAACTATTTACTTAACAAACTAGAAGAATGCCTGGCACATGTCTTGCACTAGGAGGAGCACTGAGGATGCCTGAGGTCTTTGGAGTAAGTGCTGGAATCGAGATGGGAACTCTAGGGGAAGGCCATTGTATAATAGGTTGACCTTCTCACCTCCAATTCCAAAATCCCAAATCTCTCAAAATTGGAAACTTTGTTTGGTCACTTGTTTGGCAGCAAGACCTCGCCTTACCTGACCTGAACTCTTTTAGCAGCAAAAACTGACCTGAACCAACAGGAGGCTATTTATAATCTTTATTTTTGCCCTGGAGAGTGAGTAGTCATGTACTCATGACTCATGAGTCATGACAGTAGTAGTACACATATTAGTGTGTTTGACGAATGAGGAATGCCCCAGACCATGCTGGATATATGGTATATGTACCATAATGCCTTTCTAAAATCTGAAAATTTCTGAATTCAGAAACTCAACTGGTCCCAAGCATTTCAGGAAAAGAACTGAGGACCTATACTCTAAAGGTATTAACTTGAGGAAGGGAAAGAGAACTCGTTTTGATAGGGAAGAAGAATGAAAAGCAAGAGAGACCTATTTATTTCAAACTCACAGTAATTAATACTAGTGATTAATTAATACTCTTAAATATAGATGAGATGTCCCTTTTATAATATCTTTGCAGCTCTTCTAGGAGGTGACGAGGAGACATTCAGCAGATGTGAAAACTCAAACCCAGAGGGGTTAAGTAATTTGCTCAAGGTTGAGCAATAACTAGACCCCAGGTCTCTTACTACTCAAGCCCGCTAGATGCACCCACACCCTGTTTTTTTTCTCCCCAGATGAACTCCACAAATCTGGGGATGTACAGGCTGCTGCCAAACCATCTGTGAAGTTTAACCTCGTCACCTCTGAGGACCCGGAGCACGAAGGATGCTACCTTTCTGTTGGCCATGACCAGCCCCTGGAAGACTGTGGCTTCAACATGACAGCCAAAACCTTTTTCATCATTCACGGCTGGACGGTGAGCCTGGGGGAGGGAGCTCCGAAGATTTACACAAGATTTGGTTTCCTTTGTTTTGGTACATTAAAAAGAATACTGGTGCTTCCAGATTCCACTCTCTCTCCCCCTCTTTTCTTGTGGGCTGCTTGTATTTCAGACAGCTGTGAAGAATGTAATGGGCACTCGCTGAGGGGGCAATCTGGATTCCAGCAGGGTGGTATTTAGTGCTGGCACACAGCGGGCTTTCAGAAAGTGGCTCTCCTGAGGGCAGCAGCCCCGCTCCGCTGGCTCTTAAGGACCCCTCTAATTATACTTAATTACATTGGTCAACCACTGCCTCACGGGGGCCAGCCCTCCCTAAGAGCTGAGCTGAACTGAAGCAACTTGACTGGCTCAGAGAGTCTATGAGGAGCCAGCTGGCCTGGATTGCTGGCATGGTGCCCTCCTGTTTGCATAGAGATGGCTCCGTTTAAAGGCAATGGGGCTCTTTGTATCCCCTAGCTGAGCAATTCAGATTGAAAGGCCCATGACAAACTTCAACAAAAAAGGGGTTTAACGCTGGCTTCAGAAGCTTTTGACCAGCGAGGGATTTATTCATTCATACAATGACAGCCTGTAGGAAAATGGCACTATTAAGTGAACAGGTTTCTGCCTCGGCTAATTGGGAGGGGATGTTCCTCCTCTTAATGATGAGAAATTCATATCCGTTACATGCTTTCTGGGTCTTTAGGTCTATCACCAACTGTTGGGGTCAGGCCTGGGGGGAAGTAGGGGTGGGTAGGTGCCTACCTACCTGATGTGATTGAAGAGATGATTAAGGGCCTGTCCATCTATCCTCATCCCACAGCCCACGAGTAGAATCATGCATTTGAACCTTTTTGAGGCCCCCTGTCAAAATGCAAATACAAACTGCCTGCAACTTACAAATGGATTGCATTCCAGAAAGTTCTTTTGTAATCTGTTTGGAACTTGGAACAGAAGTTTCCCATAGAAGCAAGATTGTAAACGTCATTTGGGTTCCCAGGCCAGACACAGAAAATCTATTTATCTAATAATGTACTTGTGGATAGGCTTACAACTGGACCTAGTCACCATTTATACTTTGTTTCTGTGGGAAAATGTGTTCCGAGTTGTAATTTGGGATTCCAGGAACAGATCTCCCTATTCTGGCTTCAAAAGGGATGGCAGAGATGGGTTGTGGGAAGGGGTCATTTGTTAACTCTGCATTTGCCTAGGAGATAGCATCTCCCTGCATCTCCGAGAGAGAAGCTGATTCTCCAGGGCAACCCTTCCCAGCTACCTTTGAATGATGGACCAGGCCACTTGCCTGACTGTGAGAGAGACTCAGGCTAACCTCAGGCCAGTATTGCCACCAGCACTTATCTCATAGTTTCCCTATCAGATAAGGGGCCAGCAGCAGAGGACACCAGCTATGAAAGTTTTGATGGGAAAAACTGGAGATGTAAAGAACAATGGAAGACAAACACCTAGGCAACAATCCTAAGTGCCTGTGGCTGGCCCTGCTCATGTGCAAATGTGTGCTCCCTGAGCCACCAATGTGAATGTTCTGGAATCTGCTGGGGAGAGGGTCATGGAACTGAATTCCATATTCCTTAGGATTTCTGAAATTTAGAAGAATAATTTTTGAAAAATGCCCTGTTTTCTCTGTAGTTGAGCGGCATGTTGGAAAACTGGCTGTACAAACTCGTGTCAGCCCTGCAGACAAGAGAGAAAGAAGCCAATGTCGTGGTAGTTGACTGGCTCCCCCTGGCTCACCAGCTTTACATAGATGCGGTCAATAATACTAGGGTGGTGGGACACAGCATCGCAAGGATGCTCGACTGGCTGCAGGTAACGGGATGGAAGTCATCTCCTTCCATGAGCGGGATCTTGAACCCGAACCCTCTTAAGAAACACAGGACAGACTGTGCTACAGTGAACTTCAGGAGTCTGAGAATATCTTTGGGATTCAAATTTTTACTGAATTAAGAGTTGCTTGAAATACTTGAAAGCTGGGACTTTTAGAAAGCTTTTTAATTATTGATGTATCTCTGGATGTTTCCTGTTACTTTATTTGCAGGAAGAAAATTTGCCTTATGGGTCACTACTTGCTGATGCCCTTAGGTTGGGAATGGTCAGGCACCAGGACCAGCCTGTAATCTCTTTTGTTTAATAATTTTATTTATTTATTTATTTTCCCCCCAAAGCCCCAGTAGATAGTTTTATGTCATAGCTGCACTTCCTTCTAGTTGCTGTATGTGGGACACGGCCTCAGCATGGCCGGAGAAGCAGTGTGTCGGTGCACGCCTGGGATCAGAACCTGGGCCGCCAGCAGTGGAGTGTGCGCACTTAACGGCTAAGCCACGGGGCCAGCCCCCCAGCCTGTAATCTTAAACAAGGATGTATGCTCTTGGTTCTGAAAGGTGGCTGTCCTGAGGGTGGGAAGGGGGTTGGTTCAAACAAATGCAGCCTAATGCCTCCCATAAAATATTAAGGTGGAAAACAGATCTGGAGGTCTTAAATTTACTTTTTGTAGGTTAATGATTTGCCTGAGATCGGTGGACTTAACTGAGGGCAGGGGTACGCTGGCAGAGTGACCCAATTATCTGGGCAATTCCAGCCTGACTTTCTGGAAGCAAAAGCCCATGGAATCTGATGGATTCTGGCAGAATTCAGGATTCTCTAGCAGTCCCTCAGTCCTCTGCCTAGGTTGTTTTGTAGAGCTTGGTTCCTGAGCCATGGGATCAAATCCCCACCTCCTCACCCCCCACTAGCTCATGCCCTGTCAGGGTACGATGCTTCAGCTCTGGGGTTCCAGGCAGGCTTGTGGTGAGGAGACGGGCAGCTCCTGGGCTTAAGAGGGTGGGGAAGGAGCATCCTGCTGCAGGCTGTGGCTGGCACTGAGTCTCCAGTGAGCCTGGTGGCTTTGACCTCCACACTGCCACCCCTCCCCCACTTAGATACTGCCAGAAGGAACAGAAGCATGTAGGGGAAAGGTCAGGTATGCAGCTTCAAGTCACAACCTCCACCCTGCCCTCAGCACTTGGCAGTTGAAGTGTCACCCAGTCTTTTGACCTCCCCTTACCTGGCTATTTCCCATTGCCAGCAATGCCAGCTGTGCCCCGGGCAGCCTCTGCCCCTGGCTCCTGCGTCTCCTCCCCGTTGTGGGTGAATTGTTGAATTGTTGGTGATCCTGTGGGCTCAGGACCACACTCTTCACTCACACAGTTTTGTGACTTCCTGCAGGGGAAGGATGATTTTTCTCTCGGGAATGTTCACTTGATCGGCTACAGCCTGGGAGCTCATGTGGCTGGATATGCTGGCAACTTCGTGAAAGGCACAGTGGGCAGAATCACAGGTAAGCTCTGCTGCCTCCACTGACAGTTGGTCCCCAGGCTCCCTTGGGGGAGTTCACCTGGCTTTTCCAAACCTGTGTGAGTGAGCCATAGAGGGTTAGCTTTGGAAGAAACCTGGAGAACATCCGGAACTTTTCAAATGTTTTTTTTTAGTCACAGAGCCTGAAAAAACTTGTTCAGGACCCCAATATGTGAAACAGACAGAAGGGATGTTCTGGTCAAAGCTGGGTATATGTGGGTAGTGATAGCCTTGTTCTTTGGGCCTTCCCTTTCTCTAGGAGAATCTTAGGGTCCCAGAGCACCAGGGAGCACGGTTTGAAAACCACTGGTCTAATCCAACAGGTGAGGAAACACCCAGGGCTTTGGTAGTGCCGTGGAGTCAACTCCGACTCCTAGCGACCCTGTGGACAGCAGAGCAGAACCCTGCCCTGTCTTTTTGCACCATCCTCTCACCTTATGGCCCTATACCAGCCAATGCTCTGCTGCTATTCATAGAGTATTCATGCCGATTTTTTCAGAAGTGGTTGGCCAGGTCCTTCTGCCTAGTCTGTCTTAGTCTGGAAGCTCCACCGAAACCTGTCCACCACAGGTGCCCCAGCTGGTATTTGAAATCCTTGCAGCATAGCTTTCAGCATCACAGCAACACGCAGCCGCCATAGTATGACAACCGACAGGTGGGTGGTGTGGTTCCTGGGCCACGGTGGTGAGTGGGCGGCTGCAACACCCAGGGGCAAACAGCTAATAACTAAGGGGCAGGACTGGAATGGAGTCTTGGCCTACGAGCCTCAGGGGCTCACTTCCCATCTCCACCTGTGATACTCCAGGACCTCAAAGGAAAAGAATGAATGGGATTCCGGTTTGAATTCTGTCTCTGATTTCTATTTCATCCTAGAAAGAGCCAAAGGCCTCTTTCCAATGATTAGCTGGCATATTTAGTAGTGATAATTATGTGTTTAGAATGGGTGGTTAAACTTCATCATTAAAGAGATCTGTCTTATATTGGTACCCAAGTTGTCAATAGAAAATTGAGCCTTCCATCTTAGTGAGCTTTTGATGTGAGAGTTTGGATTAAATCATTTAATGATTGTAAAAAGTGAGAAAGACTCTCTTTCTCATTTTTGGGCCCCCTCAGATACATACACAGGGCTTCCTCTAGGCTAAAACTAATGGTAAATTTCTTGCCTTGAACTTTTATCCTCCTTCCAGAATTCTTCTATGTGTCTTCACTCCCAGCTTCCGCCTCGCCCCCAGCATATTATGGGCCTCATTGGTCACCTAGGGGAAGAGAGTTGATCCATTTCTTTCCTGGCAGTGTTTTCATTTTAAAACAGGACTCAAGTAGAAGGGAGTCCTTAGCTAAGGAATGATTTAGTAAAGGTAGAATTTCAAGTTTCAGCAGCAAGCTGGTGGGGTAGATTTAAAAATGTATATATTTGTGAGGTTTTAGTGGCCCTCCTCAAGTTGTTGTCCTGGGCTTAAGTTTAATGTGTGCACGTGCACACACACACACAACCACACACACACACACACTCCTTTAGATCCAGCTATTGGATTCAGCATAGCTTGAGAGCTTTATTTTGGATTACCAAGACTGCGGGGCCTGAGCTGTTAAGTGGGCAGTGATCGTGCGGCCACACATGACTGCTCATTAACCCACTGGCGCTGGAGAGCTGTGCAGCCTTAAGCCACTCTGGGTTCTATTGTCTCAGCACCTCCTCCTAGCCCCCAGTGAGAGGCAAGATGTTTCAGAGCCGGGCCAGCTGTGTTCAAACTGCAGCGCACACAAGGCCCCCGCCACAGTGCAGGGGCCCAGGCTGTTGTTGGCAACAAATGACAAGCTGCAGGTCCTTCCTTTCCCTGATTCTAAATCTGAAATGAGATGGAGCTAGTGAGGAGTGTTCCAGTTCTTTCTCCCTGTCTGTTGGAGTGGGAACTGCTGAGATGTGGGCTTCGTTGGCAGAATGCTAATCAGTGCTCCGTGCTGTCTGCAAGGAGCATGGGGGCCCGCGTGTCCTGAGCGCAGCCCCTTCCCTCCGGCCTTTCTCTGTGGAGCAGGGGCCTGGGGTGAACACGACAGGAAGGTGTGGCCTCTGTCCAGTTGCCAAGCAGCACCTCGGAGGGTATTTGGATGCATGCTGTTGTGTGTGTCTGATGGGGGAGGCTTGTGCCCTCTCCTCTCCCCTCAGACTTCCCATGGGCCTGGTGGTCCTGACTGGGAAGAGGAGCAGAGACTGCAGCTTGTGTGGGGTCCTGAGCCTAGTGATGCTGCTGTGCAGAGGACGGCAGGGGGTCCTTAGCCTGAGACCTGCAGGGGATACCTGAACCTCTCTCTTGCTTAGATCAGAGAGCTGTGGACTGGGGTTTGCTAGGATTTACCCTCTTAGGCTTCTGAGGGAATTCTGCAATGTGGTAGGGAAGAGGTCATATATTTCTAATTGAACCTATGTCTAGTTAGTTATAAACAAATAAGCCAGCAGATTCATTCATTCAAGAAATATGAATTAAATGTCCACTCTGCAGGCTCTGGGCTAGATGCCACCTAATGTCAAGTACCTAATGTGTGACAGGTACTCCATGTTATCTCTAAGCTGCGTAGCAATGAGGGTCCTTTTGGCTTCATTTTACAGATGGGGAAACTAGGACTCAGTGCTTAAATAATGGGCCCAATATCTCGTACCCTAAAGAGCAGAGCTAGGAGTCAAACCCACGCCATCAGATTCCAGAGCCTACACCTAGCCACTGCGCCATTCTGCCTCTGTTCTGTTGGTAGAGACAAAGTAGCTTGCAGTGCAGCAGGCTTTGCCCTGCCGGGCCAGAATGCAGAGGCTTTCCTGTGCATGTACGTGTGTGCACATGAGAGCGTGTCTGCATGTGCACGCGTCTGTGTATTCCATCTGCTGGACGGAACACCTTTGGAGGAGTCTGACTGAATGGAAGAAGGCGTGATTCTCCAACTTATTTTTTTTTTGGAGGGGATAACTTCTCCCTCCCATTCCTAGTTAAAAAGAGTAAATTGTACAACTTTTCCCCAGAGTCTGTGGGTCCTGGCTATGTGTCAGGCCGGGTCAGTCTGGGTAGGTGAAGGCTCAGCCTGCCTGCCAGCCGGCCTGTAGAGAAGCCCCATCAGCGGCCTGCATTCCTCCAGCGCAGCTTGGTTTCCATGGCACTGACTGTCTGGTGGAGACTTTTGTTCACACCAAGCAAAGAGCCCCTCTCTTGTATTGCTTGCAGAGCAGAATGTTCCTCTTCTTTTTTTCTCCTCCAGGGGACATAGCGAGAGGCAGGCAGAGGCTGCCTGTGTTAGTACTGTGGTCCTTGCAGCCTCTAAAGAGAGTCATCGTGGGCGATTCAGGGAGGACACTGCTTTTGTGCCATCTTTCTTTCGGCTTCTGGGCTAGGGATGAGCCCCAGGCAGCTTGGGCTTCCCTTCTGCCTCCATCATACATAAATTTTTCTAAATTCCTTCTGGAAACTATTTCAAGTTTCAATCTCTACCAGCTCTGATGAGTAAGGAGTTCCACAAGTTTACTGTCCACTCCAGACAATAGCTCTGCCTTTTGTTTATCCTAAAATCAGCCCTCTCAGGTCTCGCGATGTGCTCCCTGGTTCTATTGCACTGGGGTCTGGGGAACATGGTTCCATTACCCATCTCCTCCTTTCACCACTCTGTTCTTGGTCATATCTCTTCCCCACCATGGTGTTTCCAGATCAGGGTTTCTCAACCTCAGCACTATTCACATGTTGGGCCAGATACTGCTTTGCGTGGGAGCTGACCTGAGCATTGTAGGGTGTTTACCAGCATCCTTGGCCTCTACTCACTAGATGCTGGTAGTTTCCTCCCTCCGTTTCCACTAATTGTGATGACCAGAAAGGTCTCTAGACATTGCCAAGTCACTCCTAGTTGAGAACCACTGTCTGAGACTAAACTAGACCCCCCGCCTTTGCTGTACATATTCTCGTCTTAACTCTCTCCAGGTCCTCTCCCTGTGTCAGTAGGGCAAAGACCTCCTAGGTTGGGGTGAATTCGGTTCCTATAATTACTTGGGCTTGGTAACAGTAGCGAGTATTTACATTGATAAGCACTTAATCTCTCAATATCTCACATGAACTGTATGAATTAAGACATTCAAGTTTCATTTATAGATGATACTAAATGAAGCATGGAGAAGTGTTTCAAAATCTGGTCCACAGACCACCTACTTTTAGGATCACCTGGGGAATACATATATATTTCTGGGCTCCACATCAGACCTACCAGTCAGAATTTCTAGGCCTTCAGGGAATCTGCATTTTGTGACTTGCAAATTCTTTTTTGAAGGTTTTATATTCATATGGTTCCAAAATTAAAAGGCAGTGAAAGTCTCTTACTGTTGCCATTACCTGTCCAGTTCCCTTCCCTCCCCTCTCCCCCGACACATATACACACGGGTAACCTGGGGCTTGTGTGTCCTTGCAGAGTTTTTTATAGCTACATAGTGGAATCTGAATTTTTAACAAGCTCCCGAGCGATATTTGTGCTGTTTCAAATGTGAGAACCAGTGCTCTCTACAGAGCTGATTGCTTGTTCAATACAGAAGGTTTGTAGGCAAAAAGGTTTTCTCCCTGTGGCTGCAAAACAGAGGAATTCTGGAGGCCTGGGATATAGATTCTCAGTGTATTTGCTGTACCCTCCTCTCTTGCCATTCCTCCTCTGGGCCTCATTCATAACTAAAGGAAGGGGAAGAGGAAGTCCAAATATAGCTAGCTCAGTTTGGGGAGACTCAGTCTTCCCTCCAGAAGATGTAGGTAGCTTAGTTATTCTGTAAAACTTCTGCTAAAATTAAGGTTGTGGAAGGCTGTCAGTGGCAGAAAAAATGGGATGAATAGCTTTGTTTCAGCCAGCCCCAGTTCTTTACAGAACTGCTCTAGTTCTGACAGTCCTCGGATCCACGTGTTAGTTGAACTTTGTGGCTGGTTTACCGAGTCAGCTGAGCTGTCAGGACAGATGAAGCCTTCAGAAGAAAGCCTGTAAGTTCCTCTACAGCAGGCACCACGCTGTTCAAGATTCACAGGGCTGGGACATCTTCATTCTGCACAGGCCGACTTAACTTTAAGTCCAGACTCATTGACTTGGTGCACCTGACATGGTCGATCTTGCTCCCCCTCCTGCTGTAGGTTTGGATCCTGCTGGGCCCATGTTTGAAGGGGTGGACATCCACAAGAGGCTGTCCCCTGATGATGCAGACTTTGTGGATGTCCTCCACACCTACACACGTTCCTTTGGCTTGAGCATCGGGATCCAGATGCCTGTGGGCCACATCGACATCTACCCCAACGGGGGTGACTTCCAGCCGGGCTGTGGACTCAATGATATCTTGGGGTCAATTGCATATGGAAGTGAGTTCCTTATTTTCTGCTTAATGTGGAGTGTTGACTCCATTATTGCATCTCTTCCTAAATCAGCCAGAGCTGATGTCCTAGTGACATTCATTTTATTGTTCTCACCTCAGTGGCCCTCCAACACTGTTTGCAGTTCATCATGCTGCAAGCCTATTAACGGCCTTCCCATGGTCTCTGCTTTGCTTTCTCATGCTTTGAAGTTACAGTTATTATTGATTACTTTCTTTTTATAACAAAAGGAATACTTGTTTGTTGGGAAAAAAATCAAGCAATATAGAATTGCGTAAAGCAAAAAGTAAAAATACTCCCTCACCTCCCGTTCCCACGCCTACTTCCACTCTTCAGAGGTAGCCAATATGAACAATTTCGTGTGTATCCTTACAGCATTTTTTCTTTGCAAATTTATTAGTGTGTGTGTGCATGTGTGAGTGATTATATTTTTCAAAATCACATTGTTCTGCAACTTTCCTTTTTCAGTCATGATAGATATTATGGACATTCTCAAACATCATAGCACATAGATCCATTTACCTTATTTTCTTTTAAAGGCTGTATAGTATTCTTCAGCATGGATGCACTATGATTTTATTTTTTATAACACTTCAAGGAGTAAAACCAAGGCGCTGTCTCCATTCACTTACGATTTATCTTCTGGGTGCCCGAGCCTATTCCAAGCACACTTGGTCTGAACTGAATTTGCTGCTGAAAGTGATGTGTGGCCCCAGTGACCAATCTCTTTCTGGGTTTCTCTTCATTCACTGCCTTGGATTCTGGCAGCATTTCTCAGTCTTGGCCCCATCAGCTCTCTCTACTCTGATGCTCTGCCCTTTGGGTGTCCCACGGTGTCACCTAGTCTTAAGACTGTTGCCCTCTCCCCATGTAATAGTATCCAAGTAGCCCCTGCTGGACTTGGAGGTCCATGCAAGGAAAGTTCAGCCCTATCTCAGGGGATCAGATGATGGCATTTCTTAAGGCTGTTGGTGTTAGTGAGGGAGGGGTGGGGGTGGCTTTGCCAAATTTTTCTTAAGGTCCCAGGATTTACTTAAACTATTGGCTTTGGTCTTGGGTTATAAGAAATAATGATGTACTATGGGCCAGAAAATCCGAATTATACTCCTAACTTTGCAACCAACTGACTGTGTGACCCTGAGCAAATTACTTCACCTCTATGGGCCTTTGGGTCATAATCTATAATTGAAAGGATTGGACTAGAATGGGGTTGGCAAACATTTTCTTAAAGGATCAGCTGGTAAATATTTTACACTTTGCAGGCCATACAGTCTCTGTTTCAACTACTCCACTCTGCTGTTGTAGTGTGGAAGAGCCAAAGACGATGAGTAAACAAATGAGCATGGCTATGTGCTAATGAAACTTTATTTACAAAAATGGGCCCAGCCTGCAAGCTGGAGTTTGCTGAGCCCTGGACTAGATGGTGTTTAGCATCTGACCCATTCTCAGCATTTTGTGACCGCACAACTCTATCACGACTTAGTGACTCCTACTGCACCACTGGTCTTCATCACCCTATTTAGTGCTTATTATATGTACTTTCTTGGTCTTTCTTGCTTTGTGTGTATTAGTGCTGTCTTCCCACCTGGAGAGCAAGCATTTTGGTGGCAGGAACGGCCTTCGATCCTTCTATATTCTAATGGGAGCCTGGCACGTCACTGGGCATGCATTAAGAGCTACACAAACAAGAACACCAACAGTAACAATAAAAGTAGTTTTTACTGATAGAGTGTACAGTACTTATTGATTGAGTGGGTGAATCATGGAGAAGTGGCTCATCCCATATCTTCTCTGTCTCTCTCTCCCCCAGCAATCGCAGAAGTGATGCAGTGTGAGCATGAGCGGGCAGTACACCTCTTTGTCGACTCCCTGGTGAATCAGGACAAGCCGAGCTTTGCATTCCAGTGCACCGACTCCAACCGCTTCAAAAAGGGAATCTGTCTCAGCTGCCGGAAGAACCGTTGTAATAGCATTGGCTACAACGCCAAGCAAATGAGGAACAAGAGGAACAGCAAAATGTACCTGAAAACCCGGGCGGGCATGCCTTTCAGAGGTAACCCTCAGTCCCTGCCCGCTGTGCCATGAGGAAGGTCTTCATCATTTCCCTCCTTCTAAATACCGCATTGTAGAACAGGGCACATGCTGGCCTAGGCTATGTGACAGGCATAGTTGAATCAAATCATTGCAAATCAGATTATGTTGGCCTGTTCTAGGAAAGTTAATCTTTAAAAATAAATGGTGGGGACTCCTTTTGTGATGTGAATCATCACTCCATGATTACAATATCAATATCTTAAATTTCTATCTTGCATTTAACTTTTCAAAGCTGTTTCATATTTGTTTTCTCATTCGACTATCATAATAACCTGGAGTAGGACAAAAAGGGGTCAAAATGATATCTTGTATTTTTATGACATATTATAAACCATAAGGTTTTTGTGGGTATTATTTTACATATGTGGAAGTTGAGGCTTGAAGAAATTAATACCTTGGTCCTTAATTCAAGGTTACATAGTTAGAAAGTTGCCCAGAATTCCCAAAAGGTCCCCCAAACCCCAAGATCAGGGCTTCTTCTATACTGCAGTGCCCTCTTATGCCATTGGGTAGAATGAGACCCGAGGGAGGCTGGAGGCGGGGCTGGACCAAAAGGATGTCAGTCCCTAAAATTCAATGGGCTGGGTGACTCATTTTGGGTCAGGGTGCCCTGAGATGACAAGCAAGGCTCACAATGTCTTTGTTCTGCTGTCTCTGCAGTTTACCATTATCAGATGAAAATCCATGTCTTCAGCTACAAGAATGTGGGAGAAATCGAGCCCACGTTTTATGTCACCCTTTATGGCACCAATGCAGACTCCCAGATTCTGCCTTTGGAAATGTAAGTCATGAGTTTCCTTTGCTGGGTTCATGACAGAGAACAAGTTGGTTTGAGAATGAGAGAGAGGATGGGAGTGTGTGAACAAGTGCAGGAGAGAGTAGTCGGAGTGCCTGGGGGAGGAGCTGGGTGGTTCCAGCGGGCCTCTGCATCCTCTCTCCCGCTGTATGCTCTTCGCCAAGCTGTTGACTCAGAACATTTCTGGGAGGGAAGCTCTCAGGATGAATCAGCAGTGTGAGAAGCTGCTGGATCAGCCGGGCAGAAACTGCTGTTTCATTTCAGGCAATACCTGACACCTGAGGCTTTAGGAACTTCATAAATGTCATCCCTGGACCATTTCTAATTATCTGTGGGAAGGGCACATAGCAATCTGTCTGTGTTTGTTGAGCACTCACAGGGTACAAAGCCACATGCTGAGTATTGTTGGGATTGCGAAGTAATGTCATCAAAGTACTCACTCTCAGGGCTCAGGGTCTAGTTGGGACACCAGGTTTGTACGCACACACTTACGCACACAAATGTCAAATGAGAGGGGCAGGCAGGAGGGGACTATGAGTTCCAAGGGAGACAGGTGCTGAGAGCTGAGGGGAAGAGGACACTGTTGAGTGGGGATGTGACTTTTTTGTGCTTTCTCATTTCTGTTCTTTCTTGGTCCTGTCCCTGCAGGAAGTAGCATAAATGGGGAGATGCTCAGGAATGGTTTTGGTAAGAAGCCAGTGTGCTGTGGGCAGAGTTTTCTCTCTGTCAGCCTGGAGCACAGCTGAGCTTCTGCCTTGGTCCTGCTGGGGAATGTGGAGGGCGTGGGGGAGGGCCCTCTCGCTTTTTTCTCTCTGTCAGTGTGGGGCAGGTGGTGCCACTGCGTCACCCCCGACGGTGCAGAAGTTTTCCAGGTGGCAGGGGAATGAGACCAGCTTCTCTCTCCCCTTGTAGAGTGGAGCAGATCGGGCTGAATGCCACCAACTCCTTCCTGGTCTACACCGAGGAGGACTTGGGAGACCTCTTGAAGATCAAACTCACCTGGGAGGGGACATCTCAGTCCTGGTACAGCCTGTGGAAGGAGCTTCGCAGCTATCTGTCTCGATCCCGAAAATCGGAGCGGGAGCTGAATATCAGGCGCATCCGGGTCAAGTCTGGGGAAACCCAGCGGAAGTAAGTGCCTCACGACCCTTTTCAGCCCCGTGTCAATGGTGAGCCGAAGGCGTGTGCCTCTGCGGTGTCCTTTCCTTTACTAAGCACGCACCTTCAATCGTTCTGTATGCAGAGCAGAGGGCAAAACCTCCAACACCGATGCCAGGAAAAGTGAATTCCAGATCCAGGGCTCTGTCAGCTGCTGTGCCCCTTGTGCCCAGATCACAGGCCCTTGGCTGAGGGGGAGGGGCAAGTGGGCACTGGAATCCAGCCCTTGTTCTGTTTGCCAAGCCCTGTGTTGGCCCGGAGGAAAGGAGGCTTCTCCTGGCCAGGGCTCTTGAGGAGCACTGCCTTGATAATCTGTTTGTTCGGGGGTCCACGCAACCAAAAGTCTTTCTCCTGTCCAGAGCAAACCAGAGTGTCAGGTCTCGGGAGCCCCCACGGATGAAGTCTGTGGGAGGACCTGGTTTCCCTAGCATCCTGTTTTCAGAGACTTATATCTCTCTTTCGGAGGCTCTGAGTCAAGGACATGGGGAGGAGTCCTAAGTCAATTAACAGAGAATCCTCGTTGGCATGCCTCTATGCCATGGTGGGTTCCCATGTCTTTTAGCCCCAAGCCTAGCATGAAAAATCCAGACCTTTATGTATCAGCCCCTAAAACCATGCCTTGACTCTCTGAGCAGGCTTCTTTCTAAGTAGAAGCCGGGGAAGCCTGGGAGAGCTTTGTCAAGAGAGGAGGGTTTCCTTGACCAAGTCCTTCAGCAGGCCTCTGGGAGGTCACCGCCAGCCTTGGGATGGTAGGAAGCAGCCTCCACCCTCTTTGTACCTCATCCAGCCTTTTCTCCATCACAATTCTTCATATGTCCTGTTTCCATCCATCACATGGCACAGCTTAGCTATGATGGGAGTGCTTGGGTCCCTTGTCTGAGTGATTCTGGTCTCGAAACCTGTGAACTGGGGGGTGCCAGCTGGGGAGCTGTTAGCACCAAGACTGTGGTCTAGATAACTGTGTGTCTTTTTCCTTCTCTTGGTGCTTGTAAGTGCAGCCTGTACCTATGGATAGCAGAAAGATGATCATTTTTATAAAATATTTCAAACATAATAAATCTGAGACATAACAAATGTAAACAATTTTCCGTATTGGTTTCAGATATAAGATTTTAAAATGTAAAACATTACAGACAGAGTTGAAGCCCCTTTGTGCCCTTCTCCTGTCCTGTTCCTCCCCTTTCAAACTAAATGTACTCATCTTTCAACATTAACTCATGGTAGTGTGTTTCCCTCCTTCATAATCTTTATGCCATTAGTACTTCTGTTCGTGTATGTATAAACAGCATATAGAATTGTTTTGGGTGCTTCTGAACTTTACATGAGTGGACACATCCCTTAACAAGTTGCTTTTTTCATTCAACAGTGTTTATGAAATTTGCCCAATACATGTAGATCTAGTCCATTCACCTTTAACTCCTGTATGTAAACTGTCATTGTATAAACAATAGTTTCACCATTGTTCTGTGAATATTTAAGTTGTTGCTACTTTTTTGCGGTCACAAATAGTGCTGAGATGAACATCCTTGTACACTTTCCTTGTGCACGTGTGTGAGGGCTTCTTTGGGGCAGGTATACTAAAAAGTTGAATCACTGGGTTATGGTATATGTATTCTCCATCTCGATTAATATTATTACATCCCTCTCCAAAGTACTTGGACCAATTTTCAATCTCAGCCACAGAGTAAGAGTTCTCCTCTCCCCTCCTCCTCACCTACATTTGGTGAAACATGCTTGCCATTCTGTTGGGTGTGAATTGGTCCCCTACCACATGTTGTTTTAATTTGCATTTCCTGATTGTGAGTGTAGGGGGTCACATTTTTATGTTTATGGGCTGTTTGGGCTTCCTGCAAAGATTCTTAAAGCTGTTCTGAATGTGGCTTTTGTCCCTCGGGTCAGCATCAGTGTCAGGCGTCCCATACATTTATTGGTCACAGAGTTATGCTAACTGCACACCACCAAGGCTGAGTGGGGCAGCCCACATGGTTTGGCTGTAAGTTATAGTTGAAATGGTTATTAGACCACTGATTCTTTCTGTGATCTTGGTTATCCATTTGCTGCATCTTTGATTTTGACTCGCAGCTGAGTTCCAGTTACGCTTGTCAATGGATATTTATGAACACCGTACTGGAGGTACCTCAAGTTTCTCCATTCGAGGAGTTTACAGTCCACCGTAGGTGTAGGAATCCACAAGCAATTAAAGGCAGTGTATAATGTGTTAAAATAAGACAAAACATTCATTATTAACTCCATGCCATAAGAAGTAACGACAATAACAAAAGCAACATTTATATAAGGATATGCTTTTCTATTAAGTTGAGAGCTCAAGGGCTTGGGCAGTCAGGGAGGCTTCAGAGAGGCCACGCCTTTTGATAGACAGAGGAAGGCGGAAGAAGTGTGATTAAAGGTGACATGAGCCAGATCGTGGAAGATGTCAAGGTTTAGAGTAGCGATGGGGAGTTCTGAAGGTTCTTGAGTCAGGGTGTGGCATGATGACGACTTCTCTTTTCTCCTTGCTCCCTCCAACTTGGATCCAGAAAGCGCCATCTGGCTAATGCACAGCCATGTACCTCCCCCTAGAAATTTGGCTACATTGGTTTCTTTTTCCTCTTAGATCGACTTTTTGTGCAGAAGACCTTGAGAACACCAGCATATCTCCTGGCCAAGAGCTCTGGTTTCATAAGTGTCGGGATGGCTGGAGAATGAAAAACGAAACCAGGTAACCAGGACTTTCTCATCTGTTCATGCAGCGCATGTTGGTGGGTCACCTAGCACGAGCTGTACATGGGTCTGGGCACTTAGGACATAGCAGTGAACAAAACAGATAAAAACCTCTTCCTTTATGAAGCTGACCTTCTGCTGGAAGGAGACAGACTGATCAGTGAGGTGTGTAGGATGTCGGAGGGTGTTAATGTCCCTTTGCCTCTTGTTCTGCCTCACCTTGTAGGTGTCACAGCCTGTGGTCCTGCTGGAATGAGATCTTTCAGTGACTAAGTCCCTGGGGTGGGTGCCCATGCCCCTGTCTTAGATTGATCTTCTCCATAGTGACCAGGGCTGTGGGAAGGTGCCAGGGTTCCTAGCTTCCTTCTGGGCGCCAGGCTGGATTAGGGTGGGACATAAAAGAGATGCACAAGATATAGTCCCCCTTTATAGGTTTTCTGGAACCTCGGTTGGTGTGAGTGGATATGAGTGGGCAATTCTCCCCCTTTTGAGAAGCAGGAATGCTCGTGTGGGTGGTGCTGAATCAGACAAACGGGTCACCTTGCTTCAGTGTCCCATTGCCCCATGCTGGAGTGCCATTGTTTCAGAATTGGGGAAGGCTGATCTCATGGTGTGAGGCGGTGGGTGCATCCAGAAGGGGAATCTGTCACACACCCTCTGAGCCTAAACGCCTGGGAGGTGGAGGCCCCCACCCCTTGCCCTAACCGAGGTAATAATGCCCTAACTGAGATAATAATGCTGCTGCCATACACCGAGCATGTAGTGTGTGCCTACCTGCATTCAGTGCCTTCCATACGTTATCTCATTTACTTTTATCATCAACCCCGTGATGCTGGTATTAATCTGTGTACAGTTGAGAAACCTGAGGCTCAGAGAGGTGAGGTCACTCTTTCCAGGTCCCCCAGCTGGTGATGGCTGTGTGAGGATTTGAAGCAAGTTGGTTTACTCTAAAGCCTGTGCTCTTTCTTGAGTGTGGAGGTTCCACTTTCTCAGATAAATCACCTCACCTTGATCTGGGTATCAATTATCAAGCAGCTGTGCCCATGCTGGGGTCCCCTGTGATTAACCGTCTGCCAAGCCTGAGGGCCAGGCTCCAGCCCAGCTGCTCTGTCTCCTGTTCAGAAGCAACAGCATGACCACAAGTTCAGTGATTATAGCACTGTGGGATTCTGAAAACTGCCCATCTAATTAAGTGACTCCGTCTAGTGTGGGCTTGTATGATTTTCTGCTATAATAATAATTTTAATTCTTTACATTTGTATTCAAATTTATACCTTTCCAAGTACTTCCACATATATTAACTTCATTGATCCTCAGAACAGCCATATAGATTGGACACGCTCAGGAAGGATCGCCATTCTTATGATAAAATATCTTACGATGAGATATGCTACTCTTCTTTTCTGTTCCAGAACTTCATAACAGTTGAGAATGATATAACTTGCTTCATACTACCTCTTTGAAAAAACAAGTCGTCCTTTCCTTTACTCTCAAAGGAACAGAAAACAATAGGAGCCCCAGTAATAAATTAACACTAGGGAGTCGTGACATCCCTACACATATGTTACACCTCAGTATTCTCTCTCCTGACGTGGATACTGTTTCCCTATTCACTGACAGGGAGACTGAGGTTCTGAGAGGTTCAATGGTGTGTTAGTGTAGCTGAGACTAGAATTAAGATCTCTGACTCTGTCTTGCCCCCTTCCTGCCATATTATAGTCTTTCTTGTATTTCTAGATCAAAGCAAAGAGGACTTGTTAAAATAGTTCTCCCTGCAATTGTATTTGTTCATGTGCTTGTGTACGTGTGTGTGTGCGTGTTGCAAGTGAGTATTGTGCTAAACATGTAAATGCCGGCACTGAGGTGTATGGAATCAGGAACCCAGAGAGGGCTCTAGTGTGGTGTTTCTCAGAGTGAGTCTGTGGCTTGTTGAGGGACGGGGAGAAAGAAGCACTCAGGACCTTTTTCATTTGTTCTGAAAGAGAAGCAAGTACAAGAGTTGGATAGATATGTAAGAAAGCTTGGTCTTGAGGTAAACAGAGCACACCCTCAATACAGGCTTGCATGATTGCTAAGCCAGCTAATGAACACCCTTCTCACACGGTTCCTTTCAGCCCAACTATGGAGAGTCCCTGAGGGTGCCAGCAAGGCCCCCCGCCCCTGCCTTCTAAGCATGTGGAGGAAAGTTACTGCTGAGGACCCGCCTGACGGAAGGACCCCTCTCGGCCTTGACCCTGGAGCACCGGGAAGAGCCTGCTTGCTGGGCTCAGGACCTTGCCTCCCATGACGGCTGGGACTTCTCTTTGGAGAGGACCATGCACTGCTGTTTCTGCTGTTCTGCTGCTGCTCTAGAATAGCTCTAACTCCAGATCTGTGTGCAGATGGCTAAATGCCCGGGCCCCTTGTGCACACCAGGCTGGTTTCTAAGTGGCCAGATGAGCCCATACTTTGCCTGACAAGGAACACTCACTCTGAAGTGGCTGTGTGGAGGGCTGTCAGCTGCTTGACCTGACTTGAGCCATAGTGAGAGGTCTTTCTGCTGGGACCTGATTCATGTCAGGATGGCAAGCCTGTGACCTGGTTCACCCAGAGAGGGGAGAGTAGATCTGGGCTGGTGCTGATGCCCTCGCTGTTGGGGTTCGATGGGCTGCATTGATCAATACTGGGTACATTTTAGACATTCTGTCCTGCTCCCCAACTCACTCTCTAAAGCACTCATCATTGGCTTTCTTATTTTTCCGTTGCTCATTTTCTGATTGGACAAATGTTTATTAAGCACTTAAATTTAACTAGCACGTGGCAGTAGACACATTAGTAAACCTCTCCAGACTGTCTCCTCCTCATCTGGGACCTAATGGTTTTGGAATTTCTAGACCCCCTTCCAGTTTAGATAATTCATGGATATACACGTGATGAAGGGCACAAAGGGCATTGGGAGGGCTACAGGATGTAAAAGTTGGGGACCCTGAGGCTTTAAGTGGTTTCTGCCTATTTCTTCTTAGTTAACGTGTGTGTTCCCCCTAAGAGTGACACATTTGATCAGTAGCAGAGAAGCGAGCAGCGTATCATACGTGCTGGGGACAGAATGGCGGCCAATTGCCAAATATGCTTGCTTCGGAGCACAATCTCTTCTGTTTAGGAAGATGGAAGGTATTACATATGTTATACATATCTGTTTATACAGAACCAGCACCTGTCAAACAGAGCTGGTGCTAAGATTTAAAACAAGGCTTTTTCCTCCTTGGAATATCTTGTTCTAATACCAGTGCCTTTTCTGGGTTAAACTTCTTGGAAAAGCCTCCAATTCAAGACCTTGATTTGAATTAATAGATATGAAATCTGAGAAACCCTTTTATACTTTTCAAAAGATTTGCATGTGCATCACCTAATTAGGGACTCAACAGGAGGTGAGTCGGGCAGCTATTATCATCTCCATTTTACAAAACCAAGGCTCAGTGAGGTTCAGCCACATGCCTAGAGTTATATACCAAGTTGGTTGCGGAGCCAGGCTGAGGACCCAGATTTCCTGGAGGCAAAGTTCTTAGTATGCTCATCTCTACAACTTCATCAAGACCTCTACAGCCATTTGCCATCAATATGTCCCACACGTGACAAAGAAGGACTTTTTTTCAGAGCCATCTGTAAAACTCTAAGCCCTTTTATTAACATATAACCAGGAGAACAACTGTGCCAAGGGGTTGGGTTTTTTATGGATGAGATTTATCTGGAAGGAGATGTGATGTCAGGTGGGGGGAAGAGCGCTTTTCTTTGTACTTAGGTTTTTAAAGGACATTGTCTTAATCTGTATTATGCCAAAGTTGTATCATTGTTCAATGCCAAACTTCTCAAGACATAACCAGTCAACTCTTAATTCAAGGTATTTTCTCAATCCAATTGTGGCTTCTTCTCTTGCTTCTGTGATTGCTTTCTAGCCAAAGTGAAGCTTGTATTATTGACTGTGCATTCTGATTACTTCTAACTTCTGTTTTCAGTCATAGAAGCCTTGGGAATCAAATCTTCGGTGGGTCCTGTATTTATACATTTGTCTTGAAGCCTTGTTTGTATATAATGATGCTTTTTTTTTAATTCTTAGAACACTATTTATTTCTTGAGTGTATATAATGTATTAAAACAAATATATGGTTAGTTTCTATTTTAAGATTAACCAATTTCAAGATTAAAATTTTTAAATAGCAAAATAATTAAAAAACTACAAAATTCTTAGTGGTCTGGCAGCTCAATTCTTAAAATTTGAAAGAATTATGGCTGCTCAAGCCTAGACACAGAGTTACTTCAATATAAGATATATTCTCTGTCTGATACTAATTATTAGCAGGAAGTGGACAACAACTCCTTTCACTAAAGAACAAGAGGAAAAATTATTTGAATCACAGTAGAAATTCCTGAACGTATGTATCAGGAAGAACTGGGAGGGTGGCTGGACATTGGGGGACATTAGCGAGGATATAGGTTTGGTTGCATGGGACCTAGTGACTTAAGGTTCTGCTCCATAAAGCTAAGAGGGGTCCAAGCTCTTAGTTTTTTGCTGTGCCATCCATAGGATGTTCCCCTCATCCCTACAGTCCAAAGTGTCCCCCATTCAGTTCCCTTCCAGCCCATGGAAGGTAGAAAGGGAAAGGGGGCACATATTTTCTCTTAAGAGCATGACTGAGAAGTTGCCTACATTCTATTGGCCAGAAATCACTCATACAGTCACTTGGGAAGCTGGGAAATCCTATCTTTATTTAGGGTTCCCATGAGCCCGGCTGAAAGTCCAATTCTATTTATAAAGAGGGAAATTGGATATTGCCATCTGTTCATCACGAATTAATTTTTATTCCCTAGGGGTGGGGAGATAGACCAGGGCACCTTTTAAATCATTCAATTTTGTAGTCAATTTTTAGTAATCTTAAACTGATCTATCACTATGAAGTTTGACAAATTACATCAATTGGACTTTATTTCTAGTCTTAAATGTTAAAATGTTTTCAAATGAGATGAAACTTCTCTGAAAGGGGGCTTTATGATGTGGAAAGTGGCTGCTCTTTTCCACCCAGGACACTTTGAAATACCATACTCAATCATGGCAGTAGGGGAGGGATTGGGTTAGACAATAAGAAGTATGTTCTTAATCTAATTACGGTGATGAGGAAAGGGCAGAAATCTCTCTGGCAGAGTAAAGGCACTTTTTGAAATTGCCAAAGGTAGAGTCATAGTCTGGGTGACTTCAGTGTGTCTTGTCTGACTTGGGAATTCAGTGCCACTCCTTCACTAATTAGAGTCAGGGAACTTCCACAACACCTCCTTTGACTGTACAAACAAATGGAAGCATTGAACTCCTTAGAAGGACGGATGCCAAGCAGGTACTAGAACAGCCATTGTTACCCACCAAGCAGGTACTAGAACAGCCATTGTTACCCAATGTGGTATTTCTAAGTTATTGCGTCTGTGTTCATAGCTACCCCCAGCCCTCTGCCATGGACGATCTAGGAGGGCAGATATTTTTATCTGGCTTGCTTGCTGCTGCAGCGCTAGAACCTAGACTGGTGTCTGGAACACAGAAGGTTGTCAACAGATATTTAAATGAATGGATGAAGGTAAGCACAAGAAATCAGCTGCTTAAGCAGGCAGTAGGGGAATTGGGAAAAGAAAAGTTAACTTGAAGTAAAAAAATCCCGGTATTTCACTCAGTATTACATGCGCTTTAGGCTAAATATAATCTTTCTAAGCCTTTGTCTGCTCATCTGGGAAACAGAGACAATACTTTACAGGGTTGTTGTGATTTTTAAATATATATATATTGAAGAAAAAGTATCAGTGTTTTACAAACATTTGAGTTAGAAAAGGAAAAAGATAAAAATAAAATCCTTTCTATGGCTATGTGGCAATTTTATATATGATAAAGAGACTCTGTTAATCATTGGGAAAGGAACGGATGGTTAGACAGATGATGCTGGGAAAGTAGGCTCATTAAAGGAGAAACATATTTTAGATTCATCTCTCACACCGTATACAAAGATTAATTCCATTTTAATGAATGATACAAATGTGAAAGAAAGCCATAAATCTACTAGATATAATGAAATGCATATTTGAAATCTGGATAAAAACTAAAAAATATATAAATGTCATGACCGAAATAATAAGAAATAAAAAATTAGAATAGATCAACAAATATTAAAGAAACTGAAATGCTAATAAAAGATTCTTCTTTACCCCATATATTAAAAAAACTCCCTAGTCATAGAGGTTTTACTGGGAAGTTCTACCAATGTTTCAAGGAATATTATAATCTCTAACTTACACAAATACTTCAGATAATAGAATAAAATAGAAATCTTCCAAACTCATTTATGAAGAAAATTACAGGCCACATATTCTTATGAACACGGACGTAAAAATTCAAAATATAGCTACACTTATGGGCTGAATTGTGTCCTGCTCAAAACTTATGTGTTGAAGTCCTAACCCCCAGTACTTCAGAATGTGACTGTATTTGGAGATAGGGCCTTTAAAGAGGTAATTAAGGTTAAATAAGGTCATATAGGGGAACCCTAAGCCAATTTTACTGGTGTCCTTATAAAAGGGGAAATTTGGACACACAAAAGAGACACCAGGGATGCACACACACAGAGAAAAGGCCATGCAAAGACGCAGCAGAAAGACAGCCGTCTGCAAGCCAAGGAGAGAGGCCTCAGAGGAAACCAAATCTGCCAACACCTTGAACTTGGACTTCTATCCTCCAGAACTGTGAGAAAATAAATTTTTGTTGTTTGGGCCACCCAGTCTATGTTATTTTGTTATGGTAACCCTAGCAAACAAACACAACTACTGAATCCAACGAGTACTGAAAGGAATATATCGTGGTCTTGGTTCATGCTAGGAATGCAAGAATGGCTTATTATGAGAAAATCTATCAGCATAATTCATCCAATTAATTTACTAAAAGAGAAATTCCACATAATTATCTCAATAGATATAGGAAAAATATTTCATAAAATGTTCAGAACTCTCCTATTGATAAAACCTCTTTACCAGAAATTTACAGGAAATATCATACTTAATGAAGAAACTTTCGACTCACTTTCTTCAGGTTGGTAAGAAGACAAGGATCGCTGCTATCATCCCGACTGTTTAACATAGTACTGTATGTCCTGGGCAATGCAATAAGAAAAGAAAAAGAAAATAAGTGGCATATGATTGAAAGGAAAAAAAACCCTCTCTTATTATGCAGATTATACAATCATCTACACAGAAAACGTAATAAAATAAATAGACTAATGATTAGAAATAATGAGAAAATTGGGCAAGGTTGCCAGATACAGGACCAGATAATAAAAATCAATAGTGTTCCTTTTTACCAGCTATTATTACCCAGAAAATTTAAAAGAAAATAATGTTCATAATAGCAACCCAAACCCTAAGGAATTCCAGAATTAATTTAACTCATATTATACAAAATTTTTATGGAGGAATTCAAGAAACCATTAGAAGTCATAAAAGGAGATCTAAATAAATGAACTTTTCATGGATGAGATGGTTTAATACTATAAAGAGACCAAATTATTTTGTAAACTCAGTGCAATCCCAATCAAAATTCTAGCAGCATTTTTGAAGAACTAAAAATTTTATTCTAAAATACATATGACATGGTAAAGTTTATAAACATATATTTCAACTTTGAAAAAGAAGAGTAAAATGGAAACTTTTTTCCTAACAGATATTAAGACATACTATAAAGCCATAGTGATAAAAAGAGTCTGCTATTGGTACATAATCAGTCAAACCGGTTAATGGGATGTAATAGAGAGATCAAAAGCAAACCTATGTATTTATTTGAACTTGTTTTTTACAATAAAGGTGGCACCACAAAGCAATGGGGAAAGGTAGCTTATGTAGTAGATGGTGTTGGGAAAATTGGCTCAATATATGGAGAAAAGTAATATTGGGTTCCTATTTTACACCACATAAAAAGGCAGACTGCAGATGGATTAGAAGCCTAAAATTGAGAGGTAAAACTATAAAGATAATTAAATAAAATAAGGAGAGTATCTGAGATCTTAGAGTAGCAAGATTTGTTAAATAAGATTCCCTAAAGTGTTAACCATAAGATTGAAAATTGATGGATTTGATTACATGAATATTAAGGATTTCTGTTTGACAATAATTACGACGCTAATGAATAATAATAGCCAATATTTTCTGAGTATTTACTATGTGCCAGGTTCTGTTTTAAGAGGTTTACATATAACTCATTTAATTTTTACAACAGCCCTATAAGGTTAAGTATTATCATTCCCTTTTTACAAATGAGGAAATAGAGGCACAGAAAGGTTAAGTATCTTGCCCAAGTTTACACAGCTGGTAAGTGGCAGAACCAGCATTTGATCAGGTAGTTTGGCTCCGAATTTTGTGTTCTTAATCTTATATGAATAAGACAAAATTAATAGACAGATGGCAAACTTGGAGAAGATATTGTGACATACAAAACTGATAAGAGATTAATATCTAGTATATACAACTAACCTCTGTAAATTGACAAGACACACAAAACATACAGGATTCCCATAGAAAAATGGGAAAGATATGAAAAGAATGGCTAAGAAGCGTATGAAGAAATGCTGAAACTCATAGAAATTAAATAAATGTGAATTACAACAGTGAGGTACTACTTTATACTATCAGAATGGCAAAAATGAAAAATGGATGATACCATGTATTGGTAAAAGTGTTCAGAAATGGAACCCTTATGCACTGCTGGTACTGACATTTTGGATAATAATCTAGCTGTACTTAGTGTGTTTAAGTATATATATAACTTGTGACATGGCTGTCTCAATCCTGTATATATACCCCAGAACTATTGTCACATTGGTCCCTAATTGGATTTATATAGGGATATTTATACCATCATTGTTTGTTATAGTGGAAAGTTGGGGGAACCTAGGTATCTATTGCCCTGTAACAAATTATCACAAATTTAGTGGCTTAAAACAACCCCCCTTTATTATGTCTTTATTACAGATAAATCTTT